CGATTTCCCTCGTTATACCCTATACATACCATTAATCAATCATTCTTCAGCCTTTCTTCACTCTTCAGCCCCGAATCTCTACAAATAGCTGAGGGGGCAGGACAACATTCCCTTCTTTTTTAGTCTTATCAAAGCAGCTGCCTAATGTAAAAAAAGATCACTTGTATAGTTGCTCAGTAAAACTACTACAAGGAAGCCAGTGCCTGTGGGGTGAAGTTGTTGGGGTGAAGTTGTTGGGAAACAGAGCTTGGCTACCAAGTAGTTTGGTAGCTTGGTAAAATTGCATTGAATACTTTGCTGTGCGCAATGTGATTGTTTCCAGCTATGCTTTCATTGAGATCCTGAGACCATACGCAGCATTCTGATCACGGTTGGAGAGGAAGAAACATAAGATCAAAAGTGCTGATATGTCATGACATATCCCCACTTACCTGTTAGTGAAGTGGTTATAAAGTTTTGCTTTGGGCTGAAGGCCCACATGTTTATGGATCTTAGCAATATCTTGATCACGGATGGAGAGGAGGAGACATACGATAGAAAGTACCGATATGTCATGACATATCCCCACCTACCTGTTAGTCAAGTCTTGCTTTGGACTGAATCCCCAAGTGTTTCTGGGGACACCATTCTTGCAAAGGGTAGTAAGCATTCTATATAGGATCAGTGAGTGAGGAGAAAAAGAAAAAAACATTGGTACTAGAAGAGAGGAGAGTTAAAAATTGACTAAATGATTTCAAGAGAATTGATACTTCTGAATTGGATAAAAGAATTGCTCAAAATGCTCTGGACTTGAGTAAGGTGGGACCTCCACAATGCTTGTCATTCCAAAATTAATTTAGTCCAATAAAAAAAGTATAACTAATTTTACATTGTGTTGGCTTGGAAAGTATCCATTTCTAACTATTTACTCTCCAAACCCAGTTAAAATAGGAGAAATATAATACACTTAAAAGCATATAAAATTATATATTAGTCAATAATCAGATATTTACAAAGGCTACACAATCAGGATTATTCAATACACTCAGAATTTCAGCAAAATAATGGATCTATTAAGACTAAAATAGGTTGCTTATAAAAAAAGTCTGCAATTTGGGTTATCACTACACTACACACTACACAATCATGGTTGTTAAATACGTGTAAAATTCCAGCATATTTTTTATTTTTATATTCTTTATTTTTGCTGTGCAGGAAGAACATAAACACCCACAATGCCACAATAGCAAGAGTAGGCACAGTAATAACATTTAGAAACCGGTATGGCATAAGAAATAAAAAAAATTTAAAGTAGTACAATGGCATCAACAATATCATTGCATAGTATAAACTGTGTTATGGGATCGGTAAATCAGGATAAACACTGTTGAGTGCAAAAATGACTGGCTATAACAGTAAACTGCATCTCCGGTGACCAACTGAAGTCTTATGGAGTTAAGATGTCTCACTGTGAGATCAGCATGGTAGTATCTACCAGATCCTTTGCTGAGTGGGTCTTTTTGAGAGATCTGATAGCTCATGTTAGTGATCTTTGGGGCCGTGAAGATCCTGGATGACAAGGGGGAGTTCCAATAGTGTGTAGTTATATCTGGTGGCTGCCCTGTAAATAGTATGTTGTTTTAATTTTAGATGAGTTATGAGCCTATGTGGGCCTATGTGGGCATCGAGTAGCGAGTGAGTAAGACCTTGTGGTATCGATACCCTCACGAGATTGGGAAGATAGTGAGGCTCTTGCTTGATGTATCCCTAACCAAGGTGGTTGCGGGGGAGTAGGGGAGGGGGTAATGTGGGCAGGCATACAGCTAGCTCTCATCTTGCAGTGTGGCTCCACTACTTGCAGAGTCGTGGGTTGTAGACCCCCAACTGTGTTCCTTTACTCGAGGAGACTGTAATAGTTAGGCAGGTATTGGCAAACATGGCAAACAATAAAAAAAGTGTAACAAAAAAAGTGAAACAAAACATTGAGGATGTGGCCCTTGGCTGCTCTTGTGAGCTGTGTCCAGGTTATCAGTCATGTCCCATTCTGTGTTTCCTGTTGTTGTCATGGAGTGAAAGGGACTACGGCGGCTAGGTCCCACGTATGGGTCCTGGCTGGGTCTTCAGGAGGTGCTGATAGTCCCAGTTTCCCAAACAGAGCTTGAGCTTCCTCTGCTGAGGATAGCGTATGAGCTGTCCCGTTGTGGATCACACTGAGGGATCTTGGTGGCGCCCAGTGATGGGCTATTCCAGCATTCCTGAGCCATGTGGCCTTCTCTGTATTTCCTGGAATATAACCATTTCCTGGAATATAACCATAATATTTCCCAACTGCGCTTTCAAGTTATTGACCACGTGCCTCCACTAAGGAGAGGTGGTGATCATCAGGGTTTGCTTAAAAAGAAGGAATCCTTTTGGATCCACACATTAGATACCCTATTGCCCAAGGGACTTAATAGAGAGTTTTCGCTTACTTCTTTTTTGTAAATATTTGTGGTGATTAACATTAGCTTTTTTAATCTTTTGATTTTTTAGTGCTATTTGGAGTGTCATCGCACCCTCTTGTGCCCACCTGGATTGTGGCGGTCACACATGAGGAATGTTCGGACTTGCACTTGTGATTTATTATGATTTATTATTATTTATATAATCTTATTGGTTTGATCCTCCAGAAAGGTTGATATATTATGGTACTCTTATACAGTATACCTCAGTATAACTCCACTTCATTATTGTTCGCAGGAGGTCTTACTCTCCTCTGTGCCTCATTCTCACATAAATTGGATTCTCAACTCAATAAGTGATGTTAGATAGTAGGTGGATCTTTTTTCTAATCAATGGTCATTTATGACATATTATTTTGGTGTTTATTTTCTTATCTACATACAGCACCCTTTTGTATAATTAAGGATAATTATCCTATGTTTGGCTGATATGCCTTAGGGATTTATATCCATGGACCATTATATCTTATAGATTGTATGTTAAACTTTGAAGTTCACTTTAAGTAGTGCCAAACTGTGATTCTTCTTGCTGTATTATTGAGGTTTTCTATTATCTATTAGTCAAGGTGGCAGTCCAAAAACCGGGACCCCTGTGCCTCATGTGGAGATGAGCGGAGTCTTCAGCGTGGTAGTGGACACATAGGGCCTGGTGCAGGGTAACCACACACCCTCTGGTGTTGAGCACCAGCGTTTGTGCGGCCACAAACCAAGACCCTGTAGCATCTTAGTGGAAGCCAGAGCAGACATATGCTGAGATGTATCCAGTACTAGAAACAAGATAAGGCTAGGATAGACACCAAACAAGAAAACAAGACAGAACTAATAGAACCCAGAACCGGAGAAGGATAGGCAGCTAAACTCAGAACATGTACACAATACATAAGGGAACATTAACTAAACAAGGGCAGGACAGGACTGTACATGGACTGGGATTACAAAATTAAACAAGACAAGATATAATAGGCAAAACAAGAGGAGACATAGCTAAGCACTATATATGAAAAGTATGGGGATTTAGTTACATTATGTGATCATACATTGCATAAGCCTGCCACAATGCCAATGTACCCCCTACTCTGCCTAATGTTCACTAAAAGAACCATACTAAACCACAATAGCACTTACGTGCAAGAAAGGGCAGAAGCCTTGAGCAGCTGCCTGAAGGACACTGAAACAAAAAGGAATGATGGAAAACAAACGGGTGTGGCAAATAAAACAAACATTTAAATGAATCCAAGAGACTGGGAAATCCAGGGACGGAATATAAGAATGAACCCAGAAACCCAGCATAAAGAAAACCAGACATAGAATAGAAAACCAAAAAAACAAGAATTGTAAAAAGAGTACTGGATACCAGAAGCCAAGTCAGACATCAGAACAGAGCAGAGCAGATCCTGACACTATTCCATTGACTACTAGATTCATTGTCACCATTTGATTATATAATTGGTTACTGTTCCTTTAAGACTCTAATATTTTGTTCGAGTAGGCTCCATGTCATGTTTTATATCTTGCTTTTGCATATGTTTGTTTTATCATGTAATATTATGTGTTAATTAGCTTAATTGGGATTGGGGCTATTTAAACTCTTGTGTCATGCTGTACCCTCTGTGCATGATTAAGGCTCTGCTGAGCCGAAACGTCACACTAATTTTCTTGAGGTGGTGAACCCATGAATAAACTTACCTTCATTATCCTGGAGTGTTGCAACTTTTGTGAGTACATTGGTGGATTTAGCGGTGTCCATCCATTACACAGAGCACAGAGTATCCATGCGGAATTTGTGTGCAGGGTTCATTGTTTCTTCCTGAGCCGGCTTGTCACTGGGAGCATTGTGCATCTCCACTGTAAGGTGGACCTTCATAGGTCTTGATAAAATGACAGATCCCAGCCCTTGAACGGGTAAGGCATTTTATCATGTAGTACCACCAGGAGTGCTTTCTTGTCTTGTGCAAATGTGCAGTGGATTAAGATGTTGCTTACAGTCCAAGTCCTTAGATGATTTTGGGATGCAGAACATACCGTCGATCATGACTTTTTTGGCTTGTGGCGGTGGTAGTAGTGAGTTCACTAGGTGCCTCATATAGTGTGGTGGTTCCTCCACTTCTTGGAGCGAGCCTCTCATGGTGGACATTGCCTGTTTCACATCTATGATGTCTTCTTCTGAGGCTGGACCCTGTCAGTCACCATCTGCAAATTTGTCTGGATCACTGCAATATCTGCTTCCAAGGTCTGCCTAAAGTCATCTAAGTGTGCCTTGATGTCCTGCTTAATAGCCAAAGTTGAGAGGTCAGGGTAGTTTGCGGCTGCTCATAGCCTTGCTGCTTAGATTGAGACTGAGCTTCCTCTGGTGTGTAAGCCTGAGGTGCAGTAGTGTCTGTACCTGCTTCGGGCCCCACCATCTTGCTTTGGGCCTGTTTCTGAAGCATGGACCCAATGTCATGGGAATCGCATGGTGTCACTGACGGTGGTCTCTGCATTCTCCTCCCCATTTCGAGTAGTATTCTCGGTGCAGTGGATTTAGCTGTCTCGGCTCTCATGTCCAATATCTGGAACGGATTCTGCCTCTCCTCGATTCCGAGGCCTGGGAAGAGATGGTAGGCTGCAAGCCTTTTTTCCCGTATTTTTTCCACCTTATCAGCCCAGATTGAAAGAATGGCACGTACCGGCTCCGTGTGTTGCCCCGAGGTAAGTCTGCAGGTCGTGGCAGTCGGGTGAGCAGTGATGCCCGTAATTTTTTAGGAATTTGGCCATATGTCTCAGGAGCCGTGGCAAATGGCGTCAGCTCCATTCTGCGGTTAAGCCCCCCACTCCCCAAATTCCAGAAAATTAATGCAATTATTGAGGCTAAAATATATTATTTATAAAAATTCTACAATTTGTCTCTAGTCACCGCTACTTTAACCTCAATTTTGCAAATTGGTTTACTTGACTTAAACTTTGAATTTAGTGAATAACACTGATGTATTCTATTTTTTAAAATGCTTTTACCAGAGATTTAGGAGTTCTAAAAATGACAAACTTAGCTGTAAAAAAAAAATCGAATTAGCAGACTTTTCTGCTTCAATTTAAATATTATATGGATGGGTACAATAGTTTGTATACAAACACTACAAGCTAGAATTGTGGAAGGGCTAGCTGTGAGGCAAAAATGCAATTCTATATTTTGAAAAGGTCTTCTTTAATAAACATGTCAAGATAACAAATTAAACAAAATTTGAGGAAAACTGGCAAAAGATTTTGAATAAATGTAGCTTGGATTTAATTGCACTTACCTTTGAGAGGATAGAAGAAGATTTGACCGAATTGAAGCAAGAAATCAGTATTACTAAAAGCAGAATATTGGCGACTGAGAATCAGGAATCCTTCACTAAACAAACGGAGAGTATTTTTTCCAAGTATAAGATAAATACCCTTAATAGGAAATTATCCAAATTTAAACGTGACACAATAGATTATCTTGATAACAAGGTTTATAATTGGCAATTCCATCGTCAAAGATCTAAGGCACCCCAGGGCGGAGTACGTTTACTCCACCTGCGACCAATTCCACAGTTGAAATTTTTATCCAGCTATGTCAATTGGAGATTTCCAAAATTAACTGGTCCAGGAGGGGTTCCTCCAATTTGACGCAAGATGAGTGGAGGGCTGTTGGCACCCCGAGGGGCGATGACTCCATCCTTGTCCGGGCGGCGGACAAGGGTGGGGCCATTGTCTTCATGGACATTGATAAATACAATGCTGAAGCCATGGCACAGTTGTCCAATTGACCTCAATATGAGAGACTATCGGGGGACCCAACGAAGGAGTTCCAAGAAAGAATTGGGGTCATCACTCTTGAGGCCTTGAACCAGGGTCTAATCAACAAAAAGATTTTTGATTTTCTTAACATTTCCACACCTCGGGTACCTTTTCTGTACCTGCTTCCTAAAATCCACAAGGATCTTTTGAATACCCCCAGCAGGCCCATTGTGTCGGGTTGTGGTTCATTGCTCCAGCCTTTAGCCCAATATGATGACGTATATCTTCAAGTGTTGGTGGTACAGATGAGATCATACATATGGGATACCAGTGATTTTTGGGGCAAATTGGATAATTTGGGATCATTCTGTGGAGACATACTTCTGTGTACAATGGTGTATGCAGTTTGTATATATCCATCCCCCACAGAGGAGGAATGGAAGCCATAGCATAGGCCCTGGGTAGACTTGAGCTAGATTCAAAACTGAGTGAATTTGTTTTACAGCTACTGGAATTGGTTTTATCATGCAATTACTTTACCTTTGGAAATGATTTTTTTCTACAGACACAGGGAACGATGATGGGGGCCCATATGGCTCCATCGTACGCAAATCTGTATATGGCCAAGTTTGAGGAATATTTCGTTTATCTAGATCCTTTATTCAGATTTGTATCTGTTTGGTTTCGTTACATCGATAATGTGTTTTTTTCTCTGGAATGGCTCAGAGGCAAACCTCCTGTCCTTTAAAGCGGACTTGGATCAATGTGTACCAAGTATTAAATTCACTTTGGAACATGATGCCAATAGTATACATTGTCCGGGTAAGTAAAATTGATGATGGTCTGTGTTTCGATCTTTTTCGAAAACCAACTGATAAGGTTGCATTTCTACAGGCAAACTCATTTCACCCGGCCACTATGATCCAAAGTCTTCCCTTCAGCCAACTACTACGTGTTCGACGGATTGTGTCTCAGGAAGCAAACTTTGATACCCAGGCACGGAAGATGCTAGAAGATTTTTGTTCCTGTGGTTATAAGGAAACCTCTTTGCAGGAAGCATTGGTTAAAGTGAAAGATCTGGAGAGGACTTCATTATTGAAGACTGAGGGTAAGGACAAGAGAAAAATGCCTTATCATATCATGTGTTACTACATATTCAAGTCGGGCTTTGTGAAACATGTCATTAATAAGAACTGGAATGTCCTACAAAGTGACCCAGAGATTGCTGATCTCTTCAAAGAGAGACCATTAATGGCCTATAGGAGATCCAGGAACATTAAGAGCTTGGTGTCGCCCTCTAGAACGAGAACAACCTCTAAACCATCTACTACTTGGCTGGCACCTATTAAGGGTATGCACCAATGTGGACACTGTGCTAACTGCAATAATGTGACCACTGGCTCTGAGTTTACTCATCCTAGAAAAGGAAAAGCGTTTGCCATCAAGGATTTCTTCAATTGTCAAACGGATCGAGTAATTTATTTTATCAAATGTCCCTGCGGTCTTGGTTACGTTGGCCAAACATCAAGATCCTTAACTGTAGGCATTTGGGAACACAAAAGCACCATTCGTACCAAGAAACTGAACAATTCTTTTGCAAAACATTTAATTGATTCTGGCCACTCCGTGGCACAATTAAGTTTTCAGGCTATTGAACGTATTAAAACACCTTACTCTGGTTGTTCCCTTGCAGACTCGCTCAAACGTGCGGTATTACGGGGGATCTATCGATTGGATACATGTGGTACATTTGCCACATAATAGGATGATGTCTGTTGTTTGCCTCTTCCCCCATAGGGACCGCGTTTAGATGGTTCCTTTTATTTATTACCTCTGCCTGTGATGTATCGAATTTTTGATAATTGTCATTGATATTATGTCTTTCTTCTTTTAGTCTTTGTGTCCTTTTGGGTTTTTCACTTCTGGCCTTCTGATGACTGGATTCCTTCCAGGAAGACCGACAAGATCTCGGTCTCTTTTCTGGACCCCTATGTTGGAAGAGACATGTCTACAAAACTACCATACATATTTCTGAATTTTATGTGTGAATACTTTTTTTGTATGAGTAGGTTATCAGCTGTATAATTATGTTTAGATTTTGTTTTCTAATATTTGTATACATGAAGCATTCTGTTACTTTAAGATGATGGTATTTTATACCTGGAATTTTCCTGTATGGCTTGAGATGCATTGACTGGTTAAGCATGCATCCCTGACCTTATCACTATGTGGAATATTTCTTATGTGGTCATGTCCAGACTTTTTTGTGCTGATCTCTATTCTTATGTCTGGATACGTATCTCTTCTATTTCTTGTTTTATTTATATTTTTTTCATTTTCTTTTTTTCATTTGTTTATTGTTTTATTTTTTACATATTTCTATTAGCATGCTAGTATATTATTTTCTTTACAATAGGGGCTGGAAAAATATACTTTGGTTCTATTTTTGCTCCCTACTAGAGCTATATGGGGCTCTTTTTCAATCCCTCTTCATGAAACTGTTTTGTTCTTTTGGCAGTATAGTATAGTCTAATCTGGTCATTGGTTCTACTATCGGTGGTTGGAGCATGCGCCAATCATCGATCAGGTCGCGTATCGTCACGTGTTGGAAAGCATATGCGTTCCACCTTTTCATACCTTCTTCCGGGTTTAGGGAGTTTAGGTGCATTGGCGGTTTGCGCATGCGCCTGGCATTGACGGGCTTACGTGGCGCGACGTATAGGATGCATGTGCATTCCTCCTTGCACAGTACACTTCCGGGTTCGGGTATTTGAAATAGTTCATGCCTGCGTTCCCTATTGAATGTATTTCTAACCAGTTTAAGTTTCCTGATCAGGTTCCTTCATCTGCGAGTTCTGGTATTTCCATTTGACTACACGTCTAATGTATTTTAACTTTTTTTCCCACTTTCTACAGTTTATGGATGGTGACATATATATACATTAACACTGACTTAAAGTAAAATTTTTGTCTGTTGTATTACAACATGTCTCTGCCAAATTGTTTATAATATTGGTTTTTGATACTACATGTTTGTATGTTCTAAATTGAATGCTGTACATTATTTGTTTGTATATCTTTTTTTCTAAACATGTATGTTACATGGATGTGTACATGTCAGTACTTTTGTTTTCCTTGGTAACAATAAACAGGTGTTTATGGTTGGGAGACTCCCAGTCATTATGGGTGGCCACCCATTTACTTCAGGTGTCATTAATTTATGTGTTTCTTTTTGGGTATATAAGAACAGGATTTAGTTTATCTCAACAGGCTCCCTTGATAAAGGCATTTTTGCCGAAACGTTGGGGGTGTTTTGGTGATTGAATCTGTATCTGCTTCTCACTAGGTCTGGTATGCTTATTATTTTTTTAGATGTTATTGTATTTGTAGGGTTTAATTATATTGGTATCTCATTTTTTTCTATCTATGATACTGAAATGATTTTTCTTTCACACACTGCGCATTTGGCGTTTATATATATCCAGAATTGTTCTGGCTGTTGCTTTATAACATGATATGACTTTATATCTTGGTTTTTCATGTAATGAGATATATTATTAGTGTGTACCCATTGAATAAAGATTTTCTTTTGTATATAAAGATTTATGGTGGTGTTCCTTACTCAATTTGTAGTAACGTGCGTTTGAAGAACAGCTTATTTGTGGAGTATAATATTCAAGGTCATTATACTTTGGTTGTTATGTAGGGTACACCTGTAGGCAACAACAGCACTTTAGAAACATCTTAACAATTGTAACTATTAGTTGCCTAATGCTGTTAAACTCAACTTTCTGCTTATCCACATAATAAAAAACTGTATGAAAATAGATATGGTTGCACTGTAAACTAAGGATAAAATATCATAAAAACAGTCAAACTGAACAAATTGTAACACAAAACAACATATTTTGTGATATACCACACAGAGACGTTTTGGTGTCTTTAGAAATTTTAAAACAATCAAGCCTATTTATCAGCTTGAAAATGTGATGTGACATTTCTGTAGGTAGAGATTCAGCAATATTAGCTTTAGTTTTTTGTTTTTTTTAT